CACACACACACACACACACACACACACACACACACACACACACACACAGCCTAGAAGTGGGGGGGGGAGTGGCTCAGTGGAGGCGGAACTGAGATGAAATTGAGGCAAGCCGCCTGCTGGGGAGACACATGAAAGGACACTAAGAAATGCAGTGATCAAAACAGCTGTTTGAGCTGGGCATAGAGATGTGTGCGCGTTGTCCCAGCTGTTTGGGAGGCTGGAATAGGAAGATGCCTTGGGCCCAGATCTTAACAAGAGTTCTATCTACTCAGTTGGTAGACTACTTGTCCAGCCCCCACAATGCCCTAGCCGACATTTGATGCCTAACCTTGCATAAACCAGGCAAGGGGGTACACATTAATAATGTTTTAATAGTATTACTGTTTCAGTGTTAGTCAGCTAGTATTTTTAATGCTTAGTTGATTAATATTAGTATCTAACCATTTTAATAATATGTTTGATGTTATAAAAATGCCAAAAAAGGTTTTTTTGTTTGTTTGTTTGTTTGACACAGGGTGTTTACTGTAGCTCAGGTTAGTCTGGAACTCACAATCTTCCTACTCTAGCTTACTCAGTGCTAGGATTTTAGGTGTACACTACATGCTTGACCACAATACCAACATTCTGAGACAGGGTGGCATTGCCTATTCATCCAATCTCGGGCTCCAAGAGGGCTCCTCTGCATGGCATGGACACTGACCCTGCACACTTCCAAGGACCAGCTCAGCTTTGTGGGCCTAAGGTGACGTCATCTTCTCGATTGCTATTTTTCCTCAGTCCTTCAGTTTTGTTCTTTGGGGAATCACTATCCAAAAATAAACTGCTAGTTCTTGTCCCTGGTTGTGTTTTATTAGTAGTTTGAGGTGAAAGAATAAAAGCTAAGTAAGATTCCAATAATAACATACCACTCAAGCATTTCAGAAGTAAAAAACCTGTGAGTAATTTCACTGGATTAATAAATACCAGCAAATCCAGCCATAGATGCACCTTTAATCCCAGCACTTTGGAGGTGGAGACAGGCAGATCTCTGTGAGTCTAGGCCAGCCTGGTCTACATAGCAAGTTCCAGGACGGACAGGGCTACATACAAAGACCCTGTCTCAAACAGATAAATAAAAATAAAAGGCATAAGCTAGAGTTGTGCTAGCATCCTAGGAGGCATGCCTTAAATAACAGGAAAAGAGGGGCTGGAGAGATGGCTCAGTGGTTAAGAGCACTGTCTGCTCTTCCACAAGGACCCGGGTTCAATTCCCAGCACCCACATGGCAGCTTACAACTGTCTGTAACGCCAATTCCAAGGGAACTGACACCACACCTTCACACTAATGCACACAAAATAAAAATTAAATAAATTATTAAGAAAAAAATAACAGGAAAAGAAACTCAGGTTTCAAGTGGTGGGAAGCCAGCCTAATGAGTAGGGCTCAGAGCAGAGGCTATCAAAAACAACAACAACAACAAAATAACAGAAGTCCCCTCCAATCTCTTGCCAGAGTCAGAAGACACAAGCCAATCCGGTTTGTGTAAAGTGTTAAGCTCCTCAACCTGTCAGTCTCACCAGCCCCGTGGATCAGAGGCCACAGGGCCCAGCCTGGGCTAGCACACGGAGCCCCCACGGGCCTTAGGTGTAGATACTGAGCAGAGAGAGGAAAAGGCAATCTTGTCCCCCCTTTAGTCACCCTACCAGATCTGAGGGCCAAATACTACCAGTTTGTCCTCTCTCTGTCCCTTCCTCCCTCGGTTGCTGGACAGGGAATGGGCCTTTCTGCAAATAGAAGGCCTTTCTGTCCAAGAAGGCTCTGGCATCGTTCCACAAGGGCCCTGGGTTCCTGGAGAGGGCAAAGGACAAACACCAGAGCCTAGACTATGCTATGCTCCCACAGTGGGCCCACCTCCCTGTGGTGTCTCTAAAGAGGCCCCAGGGAATCTGAGAGAGGACACTGGGACTACTCAGAGGCCCGTGACCCAGCCTTTTAGTCCTAGGACATCCCTCGCTGGCCATATTGCCTCTTTTCAAAGTGAGAATCCTGCTTTTCCAAGGACGAGTCTCCGGTGCCTGCTGTCCCATGATGGACTACAGCCATGCTAAGGTTCATAAGTGAGCTCCCAAGCTGGTGTGTGTGAAGAGGTGGCGCTCCTGTCACCCACAGAGGTCTCCTGCGAGCCTGAGCTCAACACTCCAGACTGGGACCGTAGAGCAAAGGACTCCTGCCCCGGGCTAGGCCTGGCACGGCCAACTCCTTAGAGACGCGGCTCCTCCCTGTCACTCACCCTCCCACGTGGGGCCGAGAAAGCCGGAGCTCCGAGCTGCATGCGCGTTGTCCAGCGGACCCCGGGGCGGGAGGCCCCGCTTGGAAGGCCGCTGGGTGCAGGGAACCGAGCAGGAGGCGGAGCCCGCCCGGGAGCCCCGCCCAGATCGGTGGAGCGCAGTGGCCTTTCGCTGCCTCGCCCGCATGGGGGTGTGGTCCAGAGGACTCGGCTTCCCCGAGCTCCGCACCAGCCCTGGGGAGTTTTTCAGCACCCGCCGCGCGTTTGCACGCCGTCACCCCGGGAAGACCCCCGCGGCGCCCCGTCATCGCCGACCTCTCCTCCCCAAACCCCTCCCTCGGGCAAGCTGAGGAGGAGAGGCGGGAAGCATGCGGGACTACGACGAGACGACCGCCTTTCTGGGCGAGTGGGGGCCCTTCCAGCGCCTCATCTTCTTCCTGCTCAGCGCCAGCATCATCCCCAATGGCTTCAACGGTATGTCAGTCGTGTTCCTGGCGGGGACCCCGGAGCACCGTTGCCTGATCCCTGACACGGTGAACCTGACCAGCGCGTGGCGCAACCACAGTATCCCGTTGGAGACGAAGGATGGGCGGCAGGTGCCTCAGAGCTGCCGCCGCTATCGACTGGACACCATCGCCAACTTCTCTGCCCTCGGGCTGGAGCCGGGAGTGGACGTGAACCTGACGGAGCTGGAGAAGGAGAGCTGTCTGGATGGCTGGGAGTACAGCAAGGACGTCTTTCTGGCCACCATCGTGACCGAGGTAGGTGGTAATGCCTTGCTGGAGCTGCACAATGGGCATGGAACCTCCATTGCGCCCCCAACAGTCCCTGGCAGTGCATATGGGCCAATGTCACACTCCGTCTCCAACCTGCCAGGCACAAAGTGGGGTTATGAATGCACTCTCAGCACATGCTCAGAGCTGACGAGTTTCTGTGTGGCTTGGAGAGGAGGTGGAAAAAAAAAAAAAAAAAAAAAAAAAAAAAAGCGTTGTCAACCAACTGCCTTTTCCTTTCTGAGTTTCACAACAGATGGTTTCCTAAGAGCCACGATGCTTCCCTGGCCAGGCCAAACCCCAGACTGTCTTGATTTACAGTCGGCAATATGTCCTTGCCACGGAGGAGAGAAGGGCTACAGGTGGTCTGTGGAGCTCAAGTATGGGCACAGGGAAGGATCGTGAGACAGAGAAGGGCTTCTGTCTTGAGGCGCCAACCAAAAGTAGAATCTAGCCTTTGGACACTCGTGAAGGGACCAGCCCTTGTGTGGGAAGTGACACCTGGTGGACAGAGGCTCCAGCTGAGGCCACCTACCTCCTTAAGTCACTAGAATCTGGATGTGGACCTCTCTGTGTTTCCTGCTGAGCAGTTGCCCAGGGCCAGGTGGTAATAAGGGCCGGGTCAGGACACCCACTCTTCCTGGGAAGAGCATCCCCAAGTACTGGTTTCCTGCTGCTGATCAGGCTGATAGAATCTTCTGCCTTCCCACCTGCCAATGCTCTATTCTCTCTGTCTCCCAAGGTGTGGGTTGGGGGGGGTGGCTAAGTAAAAGAAACTATGTTCCTCCCAACAAAGAAGGCAGGGAGGGGACGCCCAACAGCTGCCCCAACTGCTTTATCTCTTTCCCTCAGCACTGCCTAGCAGTCATCAGAAAGTGTGTCTGGCCCTAGGGTGTAGACAGCTAGGGTGTGGGTCCTGCCTGCAGGGCTCAGATGCCTGTGTTGTTGGGAGAGTTAACATCAACCCTTACCTGGGCCAAAATTCAACTCATGGTTTGTTTTCTGTGTGGCTCTGGGTAAATAAACTAGATCTGAGGATCCCGCAGGAAGGAGTTGTAAAATGAGCAGTAAATCTAGAGATGAGACAGTCAGTCCTGTTCAGCACAGAACATGGCTGGTTCTGGGGATGGGAGCACCGAAGATAGGGTAGGTAGAGTTCAAGGGAGAGTCAGAGGCTAGAGCTGCCCGAGGACCAGCTCCTGGGTATTGTGAAGAGTTGACTGTATTTTGAGGACTTTGGAAATAGCAAGCCTAGGATTTGTGTGGTTTGTTTGTTTGTTTGTTTGTTTTTCTTTTGAGACAGGATGTAGTCTTGTCTAGCCTGTGACTCAGGCAGGATGGCTTTGAACTCAGTGATCCTCTTGTCTCTGCCTCCTAAACACAGAGAATTCCATGTGAACACCAGTCCTCCCAGCCCCTTCTTTGCTCTTAGGAGTTTGATCTAGCTGCTGTGGAAAGCGGGAGTGGGAGGGAAGCTGTGAAAGTCACTAGTGCAAGCTGGTCCTCAGCTAGCAGCTGTGGAGCACATGGAGAGTGGCTGAGCCTGTGGGCCCCCTCTGCGCCCCTCACACTAGCACCCAGCCTGTCTTGAATCCTAGGTGACTGTGCCTCTCCAGCTGTGATCCCCTAGCAAGGACTCACAACACTTGTCCTGGGGTATCTAAGACTAGGGGTTCATCCTTCCATTCTGGAGTTATTCCCTGCATTGGGTTGGACCCACACGCTGCAACCTCCACAGACAGCTGGTCTAACCTGGCTGCTGTCCTTCTCCTGGATGATTCTGTTTGCCTGAGGATGGAAAGGGGGCGGGGACTAACAACTCCTGAGTCCAAGGGTGCCCCTCCCCCTGTGCTGTCCCCAGGGTCCTATGGTCAGCGCTAGTGACTCCTGCCTCACGTACTCACGTGACTCGTGCACACTGCGACTCTTCTTGCTTGGCAGCCTTTCTCTCCCTTGCTTGCTCTTTTGGATGGTGGGAGTCAAAAGGCAAAGGGCACTGGTGGCTGGAAAGAGAAGGGAAGGAAGCAAGAAGCAGGGGAAAAGGGTGGGTGGCTCTCTCAGGGGGGTGGGGGCCAGGCAGTGACTCAAAGTCTGTGTGGCAGCTAACGAAAACAGAAACAAAACAAGTACCGAGGAGAATGTGGAGAAGAAGAAAGCCCCGGGCACTGCTCGTGGGGATGTGTCACTCAGCTTCAGTCCCTGCAACAGACACTTGACACAAGCAATTTATGAAGACACTAGGTTCCAGGCCCTGTTGATTGAGGGCCTTGTCCTGAGGCTGCACATCCTGATGGGGAGTGAAGCAGCCTCCCTCATGGAGAAGAAAGAGGAAGAGGCCAGGGTCCTAAACTCCCCTCTAGGAGACTCAGCTTTCTTCCAGTAGGCCTCACCTCCTACAGTGCCCACCAACCCACAACAGCTTTAGGCTGGGAGCCACGACTTCAATAAATGTCTTTAGAGTTTAGATCCCAGCCCTCAAGCAGCTGAGGCAGAAGGGTTGCTAGGAGTTCAAAGCCAATCTGCGAAACAGAGTGAAACCCTGTCCCAAAACAAAGCCCAAGCCACAGCAGAAGGTGTAGTGACACAGCCCCTGTGAGGAGAGTGTTACTGTCTATCAAAAAAAAAAAAATTAAAAATAGAATAAACTTAGAGTGGTGACACATGCCTGCAATCCCAGAACTCAGGAATAAGACGCAGAGGTCCAAAGTTATCCTTGGCTACATAATGAATTCCAGACCAGCCTTTGATACATGAGACCTTGTCTCAAATAATAATAGAATTAAAAATACAATCCATCCTTTCCACTTCTAGGCAAACACCAAAAAGAATTGAAACCAGGGTCTGAAAAGGGTCATTTGTGAGGCTGAAGAGATGGCTCAGGGCAAGAGCACATACTCCTCTGACAGAGGACCAAAGTTCAGATCCCAGCACCCAGGTCAGGTGGTTTACAATTGCCTGTAACTCCAGCTCGGGCACCTGTGCCCTCGCATGCGCACATTTGCAATTGAAAATGGATAGTAAGAATCACTGTATGTCTTCATTCATGGCAGTATTGTTCACAATATCCAGAAGATGAACGCACCACTGGTCTCCATGAACTACTTGAATGGGTAAACAAAATGTCCTATGTATGACAAACAGAGGTTTATCTCACTCCAAGAGAAAGAAAGTTGTGGCACAGGCTCTATAAATGAGCAGTGAAAACATCATGCTTCACGAAACAGGCTTCACTTCACTGATCAGACTCAGGTGAGGCACAGACACGATAGCACACGCCCAGAACAGCACTGAGGAGTGAGAGGCAGGAGGATCAAGATCAGTCCGGGATGCATAGTGAGACTCCTGTCTCAAAACACGATCGAGAGAAGGGAGGTGGGAGAAGGAAGCGGGAGGGATATGAGAGAATTGTGGGTTATTGTTGCTTAATGGTTTTTAGGGCATATTCAGCCATTCCCAGCTAGCTGCTGCTGCTGCTGCTTCTTCTTCTTCTTCTTCTTCTTCTTCTTCTTCTTCTTCTTCTTCTTCTTCCTCTTCCTCTTCTTCTTCTTCTCCTCCTCCTCCTCTTCCTCCTCCTCCTTCTTCTTCTGAGTCTGCGTCTTTGTCTTCGTCTTCGCCTTCGCCTTCCTCTTCTTCTTCTTCAACATGAGTGCTGCAGTCCTCACTCAGATCCTCAAGCTTATATAGCCCAGTGCTCTTACCCACTGGGCTGTCTCTCCAGCCCTCTTCATCACAAGTTCTTAAAGAGTAGATGAACAGTGTCCATCTCCAGAGAGGTGGCCTCATGCAGCTGGACTGTATCATTTGTGGCTCCGACAAAATGGTGTCACAGGTGAGCGGTGAGTAGCTCTAAGGACAGAGCCTGGCCACCCTTTCCTCTTGCCTGCACCTCTATCTGGGCACTGTGGGCAATTTGGAACTTTCCCCCAAGGCTTGAGTTATGGCAGATAGAAAAGGTGAAGACATTTGCTGGATGACAGCTGAGCCCCTGACCCCGCTGCATTGCCAGAACTGTGAGAACCAGTCATGTGTGTGTCAGAACCCATGCTGACATAGCCAGTGACAGTGGCTAATGACCTCATTCTTACAAGCTGATCCCTGACAGGGGCCTATATCCTGGCTGACCAGGATGGAAGGACTGTCCTCAGAAAGTGCCTCTGTCTTGTACTGGGGCACCCTGATATGCTCCAGAAGAGAAAAGCCCATCCAAACTGTCCCTGGACCCCTCCACAGGAAGACAGGGTCAGCCAAGAGTCCAGAGAAATGCCTTTCATAGATGCCATGAAGGAAGACGGGAATCTGGTGTCTGGATTGTGACTTGCATGTAAATAGCTGTCCCTGTGTCCTTCACACATAAGGTCATTTCCTTCTTTAGGGGCTGTTGTGTGCGAGGTGCAAGCCATTCAGCCTGTGTTCTGCTAAGAAACAAATTTCTCATCCCTATTTTGAGATAACTTCTGATTCAAAGAAGAGTTGTTAAGGTAGTACAGAACATTTACATATGCCCTCCAACTAGCTTCCTCTGCAATTTATTTATTGTTTCCCTGAAATAAGATTTTACTATATAGCTCTCAGGCTGGCCTGGAACTCTCACTATGTCATCCAGGTTGGAGTCCTCTTGACTCTGGCCCCGAGTGCTGGGATTGCAGACATGTGCCACCACACCCAGCTCTGATATTATCAATTTAAATTACCCATGCTGCACTTATCAAAACCAGGAAATTAACATTGGTCAAAGTGTCACTAGTGTCGTTTTTCTGTTTTCTGATCCAGTCCATTATCCCACTACACTTAGCTGTTACATCTCAGTCTCCAGTGTGACTCAGCTTTTCAGCCTTGGCTGATCTTTCGTGACCGTGATATGTTTTGTGTGTGTTGTTTTGATGAATGTTCCCTCAACTTGGGTTTATGTGTTGTGTCTCATGATCTGATTGTGCTATGCAGTTTTGGGTAAGAATGCAACAGAAGTGTTATATTTTCAGGGAGTCAAA